CCCTCCGACGTGGCCAGCATGGTAAAAAAGGAGACAAAAATGATGGAAGATGGGATTCTGGGAGTCGATATAGAAAAAATTTGAAGAAAGTCTTGAAGAGAAAGTGGAAAAACATATCCAATTTTTACCCTTTTTTCGTTTTCGTGATGAGAAATATTAGTTGGGCGATGTGGAAGATGGTATATAAGCAAGTGGAAATATCGATCCCTATACGTACTCTCGTGTTTCTCCTGCCTTTAATCAAGGCTGGAGGACCGACACACGACCACACCCACCAAAACCAAGATGGAATGGGTCAGAGAAGAACACCAGGTTTTTTTAAGGTCTGATACGTATATCTTTAAGGCTTTTGTGTTTTAAAGCGATGCAATTTTTATATGAAATAAAATGCAATCACGAACAAAATTAATTCGAATAATTAAAATAGTAGAAAAACACGAACGAAGAAAATAAATCTACAGAAATACAAAGAAATAAATCACACACACCGTGAACAAAAATTAAAAACAGATTTCAAAAATAAATAAAATAAAGTTAAAAATCTGAAAATAACAATATAAAGAAAATCGCATTAACTCTAAAATATTTTTAAATTCCCATCAAAAAACACCTTCCTTTGCTAGCCTCGTTTAAATAACGACAACGAACATAATCATGAAATTACCCACGTGGTAACTTTCTCCCCCAGAAAAAAAATTTTGAGCTAGGACCACTCCGCTCTTGAAAAAAGTGTAGGTAGAGAAATCACTTGAAAGAAAGTGGGCTCCCTGTTTTCCCTCCAGATGAGAATTGGAATATTATAGATTCCTCGCCGCCATCTCGCCGTACTCGAGAGATGAGATGAGATCAATGTATGCAGACACATACACTTCAAAACATGGCCAAAAATTGGACAGGGTTCCCCCGAATATAAAAATCCAAAAGAGAAAGTTTGGCTGGTCTACAATTTCTTCCTCTATTTCAACCTCGGAGCGAACACTGGTCTGATCTCGCGACCATCCATCGTAGGACCGATATCGTATCCATCTTCCCGATATTTCCCCTCTCTTCTTCTCTCGGAATGGAAGGCGACGGAGTGGAGTGGGTTTGCTCGAGTGAGGAATGAGTGATATCCTTTCGCCTCGAGATGATCCATCCTCTAAGGACGCACGGCCCAAAAAGTGCCACTGCCACCGTGTAGTGCATCGATGTGACAGGACCAAAAACCAGGCAGCCGCACGCATAAAGAGACAACCAGAAAAGGTGTTGGATTATGCATTTTAGTGTAAAAAAACTGGTGAAAATACACCTTAATCCTACTCGTAAAAATCCAATGCGGTGACAATTTTTTCTTACGTATTTATGTAAGAAAAACTTGGCATTCTGCTCAGTCACCGTGAAACTCGACAAAGTGGGTAATGACGGATTTGCGACAGAATGGTGACTATATTTTTTTGCAATAAATTTACTCGTTGCAAATCGAGTGAAATTAATTAGCTGAGTATGATGCAGCCTTTGACCCGGACCAGATATCTGATTAAAAATACATACACACTCTGAATGATGTACGTACGTATTAATCCAAAATGTTCTCAATGGTGGTGGATTAATCTAAGAAATATTTTTTAACTCTGTCTAGATATTGATTCTACTCGAAACTAAAATGTTAATTTACTTTCGAATCTATCTACTTTAGTGAAAACAATAAAACCGTTTATTTCAACAAGCGAACAACTTTCTGGACATAAAAGTTCACAAACATTTGCATCAATCGAGAACGGGGGGGATAATTCCAAATATGGTCCAATTCAGGGCTAGAAAGTAGTCCACGAGACGAAGGTAAAAGCTGGCTGCTTTGGCTCCACTTTGTTCTCTGACTCATGCACTCACTCACTCACCTACTCATTCACTCACTTTATTTAATGATAAGCTATAAATCTGCGGTCTGATCCTGGCCGAATCTGAGAAAAGCTGATCCCCTCTCGTCCTCAGCTTCCTTCTCGAAATGAAGAAGAAAAGAAGAAGATGGATCGATCCTCCTTTTTAACTTTCGCTGCTTTCTCCACACAAAGTGAAACCCAACTCGAGGAAAAGAACCTTTAAATGCACTTTTTGTTCATGTTCAATCTCAGAAAATTCATGGAAAAAATGAACTTGAACAACTTTCTAAAATTTGTAGATTAACGTTCACCAAATTTTGGAAATTGTGACGATCTTGCAGAAATTTTTCAAATCGCAAAAAGGGCAAGAATACAACCAATTTTTATTTTGTTGAGATCCTAACAAGTAAATGTTAAAGTTTGATAAATTTTAACGACATTTACAACTTACTACTTTTGGGTCAGGCTTTGGCTAGTTTTCCTTATTTTTTTATGAGTTCGTGGCTAAAAGTGAAGAATTATTCGACGTCAGTCAATTTTACGTTCGCCGCAACGTTATTTGCATCCCATCCGCCATTTGTTGGTTATTCATCATCAAAAATGATCTAGTTTATAAACTTTCACTTTGACTTCGGTTCCAGGTGGAGCAAAATTTGACAAAATTAACCTCAATTTCATCACGGACTTGTAACACTTTCGCCATGCTCTAAATAATCTAGCAACAAAACTGTGTGAATATGACAAAGATTCGTTACCACACAAGTGTTCAAATTTGCAACTGAATGGTGCCCGATTCTTGGGTAATTTTGTAACCAGACAATTTGGGCAGCACATTATTCCAAGTGCGGCGAGATGAAGTGCAGTGTTATGTAAAGTGAGGGACATGGAGACATGTCTGGATACGAACAAAGTGGGGGTGGCTAAAGTAACGCTAATTGTGACGGACGGGGACAAGACAGGAATCCATCGCATCCCATTTACTTCCACGCAATCAATATGCGCAAATTTGAACCTGATTTAATCTTTCCTTTCTGAAGTTTAGGAATAATCAGATAAAATAAAAGGTTTTCAAATATGCTAGTAAAATTTTAACAGTACAATTTTCTAAATGGGTCACTCCCTGATTGTAAGTTCAACGGATGATTGTGATAAGTATAATTTTCTTTACGTATTAAATGGTAAAATAAGATTTTTATTTGCCAAATTGGCACAACTAAATTTGTAATATATATTTCACAATTTTACAATATTGAACCGTTATGAAGTTTTTGTATAATCCTGCTTGAAATCTGAAAACATGTTAAATTTGCAACAAAGATTGCAAACCCGACCCTGCACAAAGACATTAATTATGAAATACAGTGGTTGAATTGTGAAGATTTTTTTTTCACACATTTTCAGCCAGGATGGATACCATGCATGAATCTTGCATGCCTTGCCCCACTATTTCTACTCTTCCCCCTCCTCCACCCACTCGGAATAGACGCCTTTAATTATCCCCCTTGGCGTATACTTTTGAAAATCCAGTTCCTCCTTCTGCTCCAAGTTCAGCGTCTTCTTCGCCATCTTCTTGGTCCACGTCCACCAGGAAAATCTCACCTTTCCCGTCGTCCTCCTCCCCCTTCTTCCCCCCTTCTTTCCGTCCCCCTTGGTGGACGGAAATCCCAGGAAATCTTTGAAAAAGAGGGAACACCAACCATCTCCAGCCTCCAACTTCTTGGTCTTCGTCACATTTCTTCCGGACCACCAGTCAGCCAACTTGGAGAAACCCGAGATCGGTTTGACAGCCACTTGCCGTCGCCCGTCGTCTTCGTCCTGATTTAAATCCTCCCCGGACATCCCTTCCGTCATGATGGTAACCCACATGTGCGGGGTCAAGAGGTCGATGAGGTCGTATTTTGCAGGGCGTACTTTCTGCACTACGGAGGAGCAAAGGTCAAAATATGCAGTTTTACTAGGTGCCATTAATTGATGGCACGAATCCAATCAAAATTAGTAAGCGGATCAAAAGGAAAAATGGAAATCGAATCGTAAAACGGACGCATTTTTGAGCAGGGTAAAAAAGTGAACCTTTTGTGCTTGAAGAATTCCACGAGGCGATGCTTGACCACCAGGAGGACGACGCGACGGGTGGTGGTGGCGGTTGCGGTGAGGCTGACCACCACCACGACGATGGACACGAATCCCCCCCGCGTTGTGGCGTCTGTTTCCCGCTATTTCTAATTTGGGGATGCGAGGTTGGGTCTCCTGCTCGAGATTGCGACTCCCACGAGGACGGACCCCATCTGGAGACCCACTCCGTCCAACTTGTCGAATTCGTCGTTGTACCCGTGGACCTGAGAGTGGTTAGTTTTTGGAACAATAAATAAATGTGATTCTTGCCAAAAAAATCTGATGGACTCGAAATTTCAATTTCAAAAGGATAGATTTCCTGCATGATTTAGACTTGATTTAGCCAACTTGTATCAACTTCAAAAATTAGAATGTATCAAAATTGCACTTTAGATAGTTGCAATTCAATTCTAGATTTGATTTTCTTCCAAAAACTACGACTTTCCTGCCTCGTTTTATTTCATTTGGTTTCACACTCGTGTGTAATCTCGTTTCATTTCCTGTTCACATCTGATCTAATTCCTCTCAGGAGAGAACTTGCATGAAGGATGTGATCATATTTTGACCCCTACCCACGAGGGTGACCTGCCATTTTCCCCAGAATTTTTACCCCTTGAGCACTTTCTCCCCTTTAGATTGAGTGGAATCACATCCTTTATTCCGTCTCCTTAATAAAATCTTACTTGGCTTGAGATTCTCCGGCAGAACTGCTCCAGCCAAAAAAGCGATGATACCACCTTTTATCTTGTCCAGAGATTGTTTCGTCCTCATTTTTGTCCACCCTGCTCCTCCCCCTCGACCAAAATTGCCACCAAGGCGGTGACAATTCTTCCTCTTTTAGTGCAATGGAATCATAATTCTCATTCTGCCTCGTGTTACAGGCCAAACTACACTTCAAAACTGAGAGGAAGACAAAAATCCAAAAGTATGCAAGGATTTTCATGATCAACATTTCGTCACTGTCAAACATTTGTTTACATTTTTTTATGAAAAAAGAGCAAATCTGCGAATAAGAAACCATGTCAAATATTTGCGTTTAGGAAATTATGTCTCAAGTTTTATTACTCACAAACACAACTAATATAATATAATGTATTAAGTGTATTTCATAGTTTATCAATGTTTATGTTAATAATATATATAATATAATCAAGTATCCGAGTAACTTATTTCAATTATAATTATCAATTAACATTTACTGAACATTTCATCGTGACCAGACCAGTCAGAATCTTACGATAACTTTCACTATTCTCGGAAATTTCACGTTTTGCAGGAAAATTTACAAGTCTCATTTAAGTCCGGGTTTCAGCTAAATATTTTCGTCTCAATTTTCCCACCTTCACATGCCCACTTTCACGCGTTAGTGAAACTAAACGTGACAATCTTTTATCCCTAAATTGGTAATATTTTGTCACCAATTTGGTAACAATGTCTAATATTCCCAACCTGAAATAAAATCATGAAATTAAAATGGGTAGAGTAAACTTGTTGAAAATTGGTGTGCCTAATTTTTGTGATATATTTGAATATACGTCACATCCTGTCTTGTTTGAGAAGGCACTGCACTTCGCTCGCCATTCTTCTCCCAGGGTTCCGTCCGACCAGTGTTTTTTCGTTTTTGTAAATCTCGACGCCATGAGTTAAGAATTTGTTTATTTGCCTTAATTTAGCAAGTTGAAAGATACCCACAAATGATAACGAAGAAGGTGCGTATTTTTGGCGATTAAAAAATTTTTTTACCCAATTGAGAGGTCGCATAGTGGGATTATATAGGCTGCAATACCTGAACTAAAATATGTAAGTTAGCCCTAAAACATCCTTTGTATGAATTTTTTCACGAATATTGATAGAAAACTGATGTATTTATCAACTTAACAAATCTGAAAATTTTTAGCACAACAGAATTCTACAATGAAATGCATGGTGTAGATTATCAACAATATCAATCTACCAATTGCCACCTATAACACGGCCATAACACAAGAGCACGTAGATGAGATTTCTTAAAAACACGGAACCCTTGCCACTTAGCACTAGTATTCCATTTGACTGCCTTGCACAAACTTGAGGGTCATCAGATAAGGTCGGGATGTAACTTTCTCCACTTTCTCCTCGCGGTAAAAAACTTGTACCAAAAACGACGCTTTCTCATCTTCTTGCTAAGCACCAATTATTAATCATAGTTGGAGGAATAAATCGCAATTTGTGTAACGGGACACAAATTTATGGCGGCACTTTGTGCATTCCCGCCAAAAAAAGTCTAGACGGTAGTTTCCCTATCAATTCTAATGAACTCTACGGAATTGGCATCATATCAAGAGTTGGGCTGGTGAGGGTCGTAAAAGTAGTCGCGCTGACGACGATCCACCGTCGACGTGCGGGACGAGGGCGCAGACGTGGACGGGATTCCAAGGCTTAGTTGACCTGCAATGTAGGAAAAATCATATTTTCTTTACTGTTTTTCGTAAACTTTGTAATATCTCCATATATTTTTTAGTAGAATGGGGTACAAAATTAATAAGAGAACGGTGGGGTTTAACTGATTTTAACTAAGGCGAGGTCCGCAATTTCGTAACGGATTCCCTGAATTGGGATTCATATTTTCCCGATTTTGAATTATCCCAAACAATATTAAACCAATCTAATCTAGCAAAATAAATTGCATTACAACTAAATTTCAAATTTTCCCGCCAAATAGAACTAAATACATCTCTCAATGCCCCCAGATAACTCACCCTTATCCCGCATCTTGAGCACCATCCGTTTCACAGCGACGCAGAGAATCACCAGTCCGCAGCAACAGAGGGCAGACAGGGCGGCCGCGACGACGGGGATGTACACCGCTGGCGACAACAACTGGTTCACCGTCGCCCAGAAGGAGTCGCAATTGGACTCATCCGCTCGACTGATTGGGCAGTGAATCTCCCCGTCGCACCACAACTTGTCGCTGATGCAGGCGCGGAGTTCGGGGCAGTACGACGTGCAAATCCCGACACCGGAGCGGATCGGGTAATTCGTCTCGGAGTAGGTGAACTGGGACGAGTCGACGATCACGAGCGGGTCGTCGTCTCCATTCTGACCTTCGAATAGTTTCGACAGCGTTTCATCCCAGGATGGTTTCCCGCCCGGGCGTAACCCGTCTTGCTCACCGTCTGGGAAAACGTTAAGACAAAGATATTTGTTTAACTTTCGGGCGAAAATATATGATCTAAAGTATTAAATAACCTGCATAATTTTTGTAAAATGATATTTTTGGAGTTTAATATTACCAAAAATTAAACTCAAAAATCTTGAAAATATTTTCAATGCCAAAAAATAATGCATTAAATTTTACAAGAATCTTGGTGCATTTGAAATTAGATAAATCAAATATTTTAAGCTAGAAAATATTTGAATTTTTGTAACTCCGCAAAGTTACAAACCTTCCACAAATTTGCAAATAACATGAAGGAAACTCAAATCTGAAACTTTCTCAAATGGCGAATACATTTTCTTAAAGTTGTAAACTTGCTCAAGATATTGCGAATTTTTCAATCTTGCAAAGAACTGCGGAAATTGCCTAATTGTTACTAATTTTCCAAAACTTATTAGTTAATTTTTTGGCATTTTGTGCATTCACGTTTGTAAACCTTCATTTACACCTTTTACGAACTACATGTATTTATTTATTTAAATAACCGGCTCTTATTTACTTACCCGTCGTCGTGGTTGCGTTCCCACCTCCAGTCTGACCTGTGACCTTCTCATCTCCATAATTAAACTGCGCCGCCTTCAAGGTCGTCTTCATCTTTGCCGAGATCAGCTCCAACCACTTGATTTGATAGGAACCCAACTCTCGTCCCACGAATTCGATCACAAATCGCGCCCTGGGTGCGGGCCAGAGCGGGGAATGGAATTTCCCAAAGTCCTCCGAATAGATTTCCACGATTTGCGAGGGGGATTTGGCCAGCGTGCTCGTGAAGGAGGCGGGACAGATTTTCTGCACGAGCTTGTTGTCCCCGTCGTAGATGAGGATGCGGTTCTTGGTGGTGGGACAGACGCGGTCGAGCTGGAATTTCGCGAGGCCTGGGAGCAAGGCGGGGTCGATGGGGTGGTTGTTGGTGTGCCAGGACGTCCCACTCCCAGCCCCACCACTGCTCGAGGGGGATGTCGCATTGTACTCTGGCGACGTGTAGGAGGACGAGTTGTCGTAGTAGTTAAATCTGTGGGGCAAAATGGATATAGGAAATAAGGTGCTTGTTAAGATTTTGGCATGCTCTCATTTAAAAATGCTGTACGGAGTTCTAATCATTACAAATTAGTATTCGTACTAAATTTAGAAAAAGAGGTTTTTGCACAAGTATTGACGCCAAAAAATTAAATAAATACATTGTAAACGTAAGTAAACGAATAAGTGACGTGACAGGAAGGAAGTTTTTAAATCGCATAAAAATGGAAATTGTATCGTTTAAAAAAATCTATAAAAAATATGGCTGATATTTTTAAATTCTACCAAACATGCCGATTTAAAAAATTTTGACATGTTTATGATTTTTTTCGAAATGTTATCTACGACAAATTGATGTGAAATATAAACCCAAAAATTCCGAATTGCATAAAATACTTACATTTGCGGGGTTGGATTCACACTCGGCGTCCCTCCACTCCGACTGGACCCCGTCACTTTCTCCTCGATCATGGGATACCCGGGTATTCTGAGGTAGAGGGAGTGGTTTTCTCTCGCCTCGAGGAGCCAGGGGTACTGGTCGCAGGTCGGATTTTTGGTCACGCCGTGAATGTAGGTGCTGTCGAGGGAGATGAGGCCGGATTCTGAGCGCATGTGGTGGTTGTCCCCGCGACACCCGGCCTCCTTCACGACCTCGTAGTCGAAGTGGGCGAAAAAGTTCTCGTGCGAGTCTGCCCCGCCCATCGAGTCGATGACGAAAGTGAGCTCGACCTTCCTGCCGAGAAAGGTGAAGGTGGGCGCGGGTGGGGAGGGGGAGGAGAAATTGGAGCAGATGCAGTGCGCGTGGGACGTGATGTTGGTCGCGGAGGGGGAAGAAGGCCAGATGTACTCGTGCAGGTGGACCTCTGATCTTGGTGGGGGTGACGATGGTCCTGATAAGGTAAGATCAGTGTAAATATATGGGTATGAAAAATAAGACGACTATTCAGTTTATAGGGATGTTCATTTGAATTTCGCGATAAAAATGTTATTAAATTTGAATTTGGCCAAAAAATTGCATTCCAATTTTGTTGTAAATACCGAATAAAATTTAAACTCTAAAGTAAAAATCCAGTAAAATTAGAATTAAGTAAAGATATGTTAAATAACAAAAAGTTTATGCGCCCTGCCTCTGAAGCAAAATGCAGTAAAATTAGAAGTACGTAATAAATATGAAGTGTTACGTACAAATTTCTCGGTCGAAAAAGTTAACGACAATTTAAAAGAATTATCAGCATGCATTTAAGTATAATTTTTGAGATGGCATACCTTTAAAATTTCCCGCTTTCTCTGCACCACCACTTCCCATAGAAGTATTATTTCCCGCCGCAGGATGCGACGCACTGGGCGTTGCCAAATAATTGCAAATGTATCTCCCCGTCTCAAAATCGGTCATGGTTCTGCAGGGGCGGTCCCCGAAGGAGGAACTTTTCAAGGTCAGCTTCAAGCCTTCGTAGGCGCCAAGTATGAAAGTGTACGTACAGGAAAGGTTCGCTCTTCCCCCGCGCCCAAAATCAAACACGTTGTCCGTCGTTCGAATCACCCCTTTCGACTTCATCTTGGACAGCACGTAGCTCCGGTGACACGTGCCGTCACTGCCCGAGTGGCGGGAAACAAATTCGTAGTGAAATTGATAGTTGATAGGACGGAGGGCGGTTCCCTGAAAGCAATTCGAACGTTTTGGCGGGATGATTCAAACTAAATTGCTGTTTTTAATTGCTGTCTTATAGAATAAATAATTCTCAAGGTTTATTTCTTGGTAGGTAAGTTGAAAAATTCAATTAGGATTTCGGGATTTGTAGCGTAATTAATTTTGAATTCAATTTGTAAAAATAATTTTCTGAAGAAATTGACATATTTTGACGCCATTTGAAAATTTTGTGGGATTTTAGCGATAAACATTGATAAATTTTAGATTTAATCTGTAACGAAAAATCCCTTCCCATCGTACGTTTCATTTTCTATCTTACATTATGAAAGTTGAATGTCTTATTTTTTTAGTTATGAAAAATCGTAAAACTTTGTCTCACCTCGAAAAACGTCTGTTCAATGATCAGTCTTGGTCCTGCGGAAATGTATGATTCCGCCTCTGTGCACGACCTCACGACACGTAACTCGTTCTGCAGTGCTTTGTGATCACATAGTTTTGGCAGTTCGTTGTCGCAGTAGGAGCCCAGCAGCGCCTCGTTCTTCAGGTCGATCCCGTCCTTTATGCTCAACCTGGAGGAACAATTTCCTACCGGCTTTACGTTCGGGTCCTGAGAAAGGTCAAAGGTCACGTTTTTATAAAGGCAACAACAAGATGAACTTAATTATAACATTTTGGCACAAACAAAATTTTTTGCAAGCTCAAATTTGTATGCAAATTTTTTTAGCTCAAATTTTGTGCTAAAATATTTTTTGGCCAACGTACCTTCGACGCAGATCTGCTGTACGAGACAAAATAGACCCAAACTATTTCATGCTTGGTCCCCTTAAATTCATAGCGACACGTCGTATTCGGTGAGATGGTGTGACGCAAGTTGGTCACTTTCCCCCGACTCCCCGTAATCCAGTTCCCGCCATGTTCCTGCGGCTTGAAAAGCAGGCATTTGTCGCTGGGTTCCGAAACGAACTGAAATTAAGAAAATTCCCGCCAATGTTTTTCACAGGAAGTAGCACGACTTTCAAATTCCAATTATTTTATGGTCCCACTTACAAAAAAAGTGCAATTATTCTTCACATTTGAATACTCGGCGCTTTCCGAGTCCACCATGATGACATCCACGTCGAGTTCGAATCCCCTGAGGGGTTCCGGATAAGGCGGGCTTGGTCTCGCCTCCAACGGATTTCCGAACGGAGTGGCGCGAAAAACGAGCAGTAATTCCGACGAGGAGGACGTAACTGGGGGAATGTGACCACCCCCACAGACGACCAAAAGGACCGGGTCGTCTGTCGAGGTCCCATCGTAAATCGTGATTGTGTCGCGATTTCCTTGCGCGCAGTCTTCCCACGCGACAATGGCGTCTTCTTGCACGAGTTGCGAGGCGACTTGAGCGACCCGCGCGGCCACGGATTTCAGCTGAACTTTGTGCCCCTTGTTTTGGCTGACTTGGAGGAGCACGTGTTTGCAGGGTTGCTGCGCCCTGTGGCGGATGGTGTAATGACAGGAAACGTTGCGCGGGTAGAGGCCGGGATAATTGGGCGACTGGAGGCGACACCGGCGTCGGTGACACGCCTCGAAATCCCGGGAACAGTACGAACCCGGAACAACTTCGCCGCGTTCGATGGGGTTTCCGTGAGTTCCGAATCTGGAAACAGATTTACAAATTCTGAATTAAGACGAAATCATAAGTCGAAATGTCTATTACAAAATTAAATTACAATTTGGAATTTAAAAATTGTTAAAATTTAAATATTCTAAAATTATGGCAAATTCATTACACAAAATTCTTCTAACTTCAAATTTTGCAACAATAGTATTTTTATTTTTCTACCACAAAAACGCTTGGAAAATGAGAAGAATTTTCAAGTTTCGATAAATGCCACTGACCTGACACTGGCTAAACTTCGGGGTATGAATTTGAAACGGATCTTGAATTCGAAGTCGTCGACTGTGGAGGAGGAAGTCCCGCTTGGTTGTTTGCTCGTCAAGGTGACCTCGTCGCCCAGTCCGGGCTTCTTCCTCCCCGGAGAAGACGTCAACGTGGTGGCGTTGCTTCCGCGAGAAAATTTTAGATTGGAAGAACCCAAAGGGGGCACGCTGTCGGGTGAATACGTGACGCCCAGGGTTAGCGCGATGGCGGACGTTTCACTGAAGTAAACGGCCTGAGAATAAGTATGCATTATTTATTAATTAAATAATGTGGTAAATAAAAGCTATAAAAATTTCGCTGGGATTTGGGTGGTAAAGTTTACGAAGGAAAATCATATTACAAATTGATTGTAAAGTTACACAAGTAAGGGAGACTTTCTAAATATTTTCTAACGGAAGCGTTCATTATAATTTTATCAAAGTGCGTACAATTGACAGGACTACAAATATCCCTTAGAATTCTATTATAATTAAATGATTTTTTAGATAAACTTACATATCCTGAACCGGATCCACACCACTTTCCGCCAGTCAAAGGCCGGTTTATCTCCGCGATCTGGGAGAAAAATGTCAAGATTAGGCAAAAATGAATTATTGGTACATCCATTCAAAACTATAGGTTTGTAGCCAATTGATAAGCTCCATGGATTAAAATTGGTAATCCGCACGGATTAAAATTTGTAGGCTCAAAATATGTAACCTGTCAAGCTCAAAATTGATAGATTGATCAACCCGAAATATAGAAATTGTTATATTCTAAACTGATAAATTCCAAGTACATTGTCGCACATAAAACTACGCACACGTAATCAATCTCATTAATTTGGGCCTGATAAGCCCGCAGCACTTGGAAGGAAATGGATAAATGTCTTGTTCTTATCTCACCTGGAGCGACCCGTCTGGACAGCCGGCTCTGCTGGGCGACACGAAGTGGCCAATATTCACCTCGTCGAACATCACCTAATTAGCAAAGGAGGCAAAAAGGGGTATTAAATCTCGAGTGGAATTCACTCCAAGTTTCTCGAGGAAAAAGTCGAGTCCTGGTGCGTGCCAAATGAGGAGAAAGCCGTGTAATAAGTCCTTGTCAATTCGGGTCGGATTATACGCTCTCCTCAACTATACCTCCACCCACTCTTAATAATACCCTTCCAAATCCTCACCAAAACGGGAACAATTTTTTACAAATTCAAATTTAGCATGGCACTGTGAGCATTGGATGTAAAGTAGTCGTGACAAATCTATCTTATAACATAAGTCTTTTAACTTAATTTTTTCTTTAAATTGCCAACAAACTGGTAGTAATTTACTACCTGAAGGTGTTAACAAAATTGGATACGAAATTAAAATTTGTTCCATGCTGGAATCTAAAATTTAGCGCATAATTCTGATTTTCATATGCTTGTCCCATAATGAATTTTTAACCGGGATGTAAAATTAAAAACCGTGAGATTCAAAGTTTCCACGTAAAATTTGAAATTCAGCTGCAATTATTATTATCTCCTTTCAGTAACAACTCGTTACCTACTCGGTAGAAGGTCAGAAGAAGGACAAATTTGGTTGCTGCATTATTAGCAGTGTAGTTTTCAGTCCATATCATGAAAAACACGTCTCGCAGCTTTCTCCTTCATTACGTTAATGCACTTTTTTTTGGACGACTTCCACCCGAGGAATCAACCACTTGGAATTTCACCAGACTCGGTTCGACGTCGACTTTGATGTCGTGTGTGGAACGTGTCGTGGCGACGACTTTTGTCAAAAAAGGAGTCAGAAAATTTGCATCTCGGCCAATATTTCATTTTATTTCATGTGGTTTCTATTTCATCTTATTTACCACTTTCCATCGACACACACGGACGAGATAAAGTAAGAGTGAGAGAAGTCGAATCTGAAAGAAAGTGACACAGCAAGCAGACTACCCGCTGCTGCTGCGGGCAGATGCCGTGTTTCATCCGAAATGTAAACCTGGTTTTCGTTAAAAATTGAGTGATTCCAATTTCGCAAAATAAGAAAAGTATGATGATCTCTCATCTCTCAATGAACTAGTAAAGTGGAAATTATTAAAATTATTTCAAGACAATTTGTAACTTTAATCTAACTCCGAGTCCTCCTTACCTTCATAATTAACGCGGTTTCGGAATCGTCAAACATCCATAAATGGCGTCAAATTATCGAAAATGAGAAATTTCTGTAGTATACAAAATTTCGAGACGTATTTATTTAGCACGTAATATGTATGTCAAATTTAAAATTGCGTTTTAATTATGCCAATTCTTCCTTTAACTCCGAATTTATAATCGAACACCAAATTTTTAATAGTTAAAATTTGCAATTAAACGAGTACGACATTTCTACCACTTCGAACTCATCCAGGATTGATTTTCATGTTAAAAAATTACTGGATTTTCGTAATTTGGCGAAACCCTGCGTCCTCCTCTGGCGAATGTTATTCCTCAAAGAAAATCTGTGATGCTAAACTTTCTCTGAAGAATCGAAACCTCAAGAAGGAGAGGAAACCACGGCTCACTCATAAAGTAAAGCGTTCATTTCTGCAGTCATCTGCAGCCTCCAGATGTCCAGGCGAGCCCTAACCCGGCAGGAAATGAAAGAGAGGCGAAAGTAGAGTGGGACACGAAAAGTGAACACAATATCCTGTGCCCGTCCGACGGAGAGGATTGCGTAATAAATCTTGCCCAGAAATCCGCCCTATGCAGAGAAACTTGCAGGCCCAGCGTCTCGTTAAACTTGTCAGGAGGGGAACAAACCGGGAGAAAGTAACGCCAGTCGTATAGGTCGCAGTCCTCCAGAGGACGGAGTGCTCGAAGTCGTATTTATGTCCGTGTATGCCCTAGAAATTTGGGCATTTATGGAATTCCTTATTTTCTCCCAGTTGAAATTGGTGCCTACATGAAGCTGATATGTAATGCACATAAATGTGGGGCATTCATTTTCACGCCGTGTCCATTGCACAACTCTACTTGGATTTAGAAGATGATTTCAGGGTTTTGAGAGACTTTGACGTCATTTAAAAAAACGGGTGATTTCCAAACGGCTAATTTACTAATAAGATGCTTTGTTACGATGTCCTCAGTTGATTTTGCTTTCCAAAGTCTTCCGCTGAACAAATTTAGTAATTACATGAATTGTTGAGTGACTACACATACTCGAACCTCCGAAATATACAAAATGTACAAAATCAACTTTGTCTGCTCGTCCCATAACAGATTGAATTTGAATTTGAATTCAAAATTACATTTGGTAACCTTTTCTTTAAAACGTAATTCCTCGAAGAATTTTTTTTGTTACAAGCCGACTCGACCAAATGTTTGATACCAATCAACATTATCAATTTGTTAACGTCACATTTTTGAAAAAAATACTGAAATACTTTTAAACCGGCACCACTGGTTCACAAAATATTACAAAAACCTCTCAAACAACATTCTCAAACTTTAATAAAAATTCGAAATTTTTCCATTCAACAAAGTCGCGAAAGTTTCATGTTTTCTGCTTCTATTACATTCCCCCTCGCCTTTCTGCCTTATTGGACGCTCCTCGGCCACAAATATGTAGAGCGGATCCTCTCGTAGTACGGAAGAGAAAGCAGCATTCCTCTCCAACTTTCTCCGCAGAAGACACCACTCCGAAAACGTGCAAGTAACGAGTATTTGATAATATGGGAGGACGAGAGAGAGTAGAATACCCGGGTATTTTCCTGTTCGGGCTCTCATCCAAAATTCGGATTCTGTTCCAACCGTTGGGGAAAAAAGTGGGTGACTTTCTCTCTCTGCGTTCTACTCCCGTCAACACGCATCTCCAATCTGGACCAGGATCATGGACCAGCATCGACATTCATTTACAGAAATGGACTCTCAGAGAATTGCAAGTGGAGAGGAAACACGACCAAATCCTTCGTGTACGTCGGTATGTCACCAGAAAAAAACTTATTATTTCGTGCTGTTCACATTTCCACTTTTTGGTCTAGTGCAGTTTTAGATTTTTATAATCCCTAAATTTTATAGCTACAAATTCATAAATCGGAATTTGTGGCAAGTTTAAAATTATTTATGAATTTTGAAATTATGTCAGGAAATATTTGACTATTTTATTCTGATCTTTGTAATGTTGCAAAGTTAGTACGTACTCCAAGTTATCAATTATTGATTTTGTTATGAGCTATATAATTCGGAGAAAAAAATAGATCTGGAATTTTTAGATTTTATCTCATATTCTACGAAACGGTTATCTGGAAAGAATTTAAGAAATGTGTGAGTTTACAGATTTTACGGAGCTGTAAATAACCGAGTCAAGCGTGCAAATTAGATTTTCATCTAGTTTATTTGTATATATCGCTTAATTTAATTTTTTTAATATTTTACCCAATACAGTACATAAAACCTTTATAATAGGGAGATATTGATTTATTTGACCAAGTTAGGTGCCAATCACAGAAAAATTAACACTTATTTAAAAAAAAGGATTTTGAGATAAAGAACCCTACTTTAAACCAAATCGTTTTTTGTAACGAATTTCCACGTTCCAATTTTGAAAGGGAACCCAAGAACTTTTTCGATCCCAATTATGCCTGAGGGTCGAATTGTTCATTTATATTTTATTTGTTTTCTTGATCCTCTTGTTTAGCGGGGACACATTTTTCCTGGCATCATCACTATCAGCACATTCCACGCGAAGAAATAAACATCATGAAATGAAAGTGAAAGCAGTTCCGGCCCAACGCAACTTTCCCCCATTTACTCGAACCATGTCCAGTCCAATGCTTCACAGGGTTCCGCTCCAACCACTTTGACATGTTGAAAGCGAATTTTGAACTCTAGTTCAAATTCAAATATTACGGTTAAATAATAGCTCTAAATTAAAATGCATTTTTTAATAACGACAATTTCATGTGACTCTCGTAGTAGCAAATTAAGTTATCAGTTAAGTTCCTACAGCTAACAATTTTCAGAACCGCGAACTAATCTATTCCCTAACATGATTAAAATCTATAAAGAATTATATTAATTTAAATTTTCATCCCCCACAATAAATTCGACCAGATTTCATGAATTGTATTTATGTATTTTCTGAAAATTTAATTTGATGTGGAACCCTGGTAGGTTCAAAAGTATAAGGAAAACCTTGGACATAGGAGCAGACCAGCGAAGTAGGAAAAGAAGATAAGAAGAAGCCGCACTTTCGGAGAAGGAGATCTTCCTCGCACTTAATTTATCGCTGCCTTGAGAAGATTGGACTTTAGAGGGGGAAAAATTGCACTGCAGTGCTTCCTTCTTCTCCTCAAGGGGCCCTGCATAAAACGGGTCACACGATTTCACCATGCCAATTTTGACACGACATAATGAATTTGAATAAATTTTATTTACTGGCGTTAAAATTCTTGCCTTCAAGGGAACGCTGGAGCAATTATGGAACAATTAAGTATAATTATAAATTAGCTGGGATTCGTATCTATCAGCCCATTACAGCATCATTAATTTACTAATTTTTCACCTCAGGTAACAAAATTGTACAGTCTTAATTTCCCATAGCTTTTCTCTCTCTACTCTGCAGACAAAGTAAACCAAGTGCCCACTTCTAACCTACGTATGCCACCAACCCAGCACAATACATTCGCCTCTTTTAATATATATATAGAGATGGTATTTTAGTGAAATTGGTGAAAGTAATGGCAAACGCAAAGAAATCACCAAACGGACTAAAAGAGCAGCAATGCTTTCTGCTCGATCCTCCAACTGGTGGACAACAACATGGTTTCAGAGATAAAAAGCCTCCCGTGTACAGCCTTCATTTAGCCCGAGTCAGGGACGGAGTCCGCTTCTAAATTTTTGGCCGAATTGACCAGACTACTTACTCTGTGGTTCAAAATTGTTTTCCAATTTAACCTCAACAACGTTCATTGCAGGTCTATAGAAATATGTGTGCGAAATTTCAGCTAAAACTATTTT